TATTTTATAAAGATAATAATTAAGTATTATGTTAGAACTTAATGATTATCCTAATTATATTTTAGATTTTTTATATTTAAAATGAGATGTTTATTCTGTATTTGATTGTGTTTATTTGCAGTTAGTTACACGAATTCAGATATGKGAKGAAATCGGATAGGRATGAACGRGTTTAAAAGTTTTTAAGAGTTTAAGAGTTTTAAGAGTTTAAGAGTTTTTAAGAGTTTTAGTCAAATGCTTTATAATATAGTATAGATAATATAAATATTTTATAATATAAATAATACACGATTTTAACCAACTTTAATACTTATTTGGATAAATGTGTCAAAATGCAATATATTAGCTTCGATTATTATATTTTGATGCCTATTTTTAAAAAAATCTATATTATATTATAAAGCATTTGATAAACATTCTTAAAAACCATTATTTATGAATGAAATACTGTTTATTAATGCATATTATTTAAAATTTAATATTATAAGTAAATTATACATAAGTATAACTTATTAAAGTTTCATGTTTGAATTCGTGTAATTAATTGCGGATAAACATTTTATTTTAAAATGTAAAAAATCTAAAATATAATTAGGATAATTATCAAGTTCTAACAAAATAATTAAAGATTATTTTTATAAAAGATTATATTATTAAACCAAAATAAACAACTTCGTCGTTAATCCTAAATTAAATTCTAAATAAAAAAATGAGTTAAAGAAATTACACAACAAATATTAGTTTTTAATAGTTATTTTGGTACTAATATTAATATATATTTTTTCAAAATTTTATGATATTTTCTTATTTATATTTTATTTAAAAATAAAAACACTCTATTTCTCAAAACCACATAAAACCATATTATAACATCTACCGAGACCAAAAAAAAAAAGACGAAACATCAAAATCAAGATGTATTTCGTTGCATTGCACGAGTACCTTCCTAGTTAAACTTAAAAATATTTTATATATATAATTGGAAATACTTTAATTTTGTAAAATAAAAGGAAAATAGTATAAATTTATATAAAAAAACATTATTATTTAATTTGATTTGCATTATTTAAAATCAGATCATCAAAATAGAAATTGAAATAAAATATGTTGTATTTTGAATTAATTTATTCAAAACTATTAGAACCACGTGTGTTCAGATATGGTTTTAGAAGACTATATCACGTAATGTATTGTCAAAATCTTTTTTTAGACATAAAATAAAAGAACCATATGTTCTCTAAATTTTTCAAAGGATTTCCGAGCAAATATGAGAAGAAATTAAGAGAAAACGAATCTAAAAAGATCATGTAATCTTGTATAACAAAATATACCCACAAAGAAAACTTATATATATATATATATATATATATATATATGTGTGTGTGTGTGTGTATGTGTGCGTGCGCACGCTCGTGCGTGTTTGACATTTTTTTTCAATTTAAGAAAATAAAAAATATTTAAATTTTCATCATTCTCTTCCCTTTGAAAATACAAATAAACTTTTGGAAAATTAATAAAAATGGTTGGTTTGACCGGTTGGTTTCATCTTTTAACCAATTTTTTATAAAATTTACCAAAATAGTCCTAGGATTCATAATTTTCAAAAAAATTATTAATCTGGATGAAAAATGTAACTTTTTTACGAACATGAGTGAGAAATGTAAATTTTTTTTACAAACCTGGATGGAAAATGTAATTTTTTTATGAACAGGGGTAAAAAGTGTAAAATAACTGTCTTAAATTTCTCTAAACTTTTTTCTTTTATTATTTTCCTTTTCCTACCTTTACATTTATTTTATTTCTTTCTCTCGTATTCAAAATTCAAAAACATCATTATGTATGTTGAATTTTTTGAAAGAGTAAATTACAATTTTCATCCTTACTATTTGTTTAACATTATGATTTTTGTCCCTCTACTTTAGAAACTACGATTTTCATCCCTATAATCTATAAATTAATTGCTATTTTCGTCCTTATAGTCTGTAATTTTTAGTAATTTACGATTCTTTATCGTTTTTATTCTTATATTTCAAATTAGAAAATAACCCGGAAACGAAAATCGAAATTATAAACAAACCATAACGACAAAAATTGGTTTATGTAATTATCTTTTTGTAAAATTGCAATCCATATTTTATAAAATTCAATTTATTTCACGTTTAAAACTTAAATTTTGGTCCTTATTTCTTCTCGGACGACCGTTGACTTTTTCATTTATTTCAACAACATAACCTTCCAAACCATTATTGTCATAAGTCCAAATTTTATTTATGGCATATAATAACTAATAAATTCAATCAATTCCTAGGAGTCTTTTTACCCTTTACAAAATCCTAAATTCAAGGGTCAATTTCGTCATTTCACTTGTTTTATAAAATTTATACCATAACAGATAAATTAATTGGCATCAAAGCTACATTTTCTTTGACTTCATATAAATAGGCTCAAAAACCCAAACTCCTCTATTCCTTTGCAACACTTTTTATGCTCTCCAAAATGTCCAAAATATGCCTTTTACATCTCTATAGCATTGCAATACTTCTATTTTCGACATCGATTTTCGGTTCCGAGATCTCGTTTTGTGACCGGACCCCTTTTCGCAAGCTCTGCAATATGATCGTTGGTCCCAAATTCGAGTCTCGTGAGTCTGGCATCAAGGAGTCGATAAACCAAGCTCGGGAAGCCCTTGGCCACTTCTTGGTCATGGCTCGGACCATGTTTGATAGTCAAGCCAGGGGTTGGACTGATTGTTTGGAGCTCTACGAGGACGCTAGACGCCATCTGAACCTCTCGACAAGCCATACGAACCCGACCCGTTTCCAAAAATGGTTAACCGAAGCGTTGGTTAAACACAAAGCATGCCAGAATGGGTTCAATGACTCCAATTTGTCTTCGCATTTGAAACATCTTGTTTTAGTGTTGCAGAATTTCTCGAAAACGCTTGTTGGTTTGCTGACGCAAAACAAACCTTCGGCTGATAAAATCTTGACGGCGGATGAGCACCGGCTGATCCAGATAGCCGATGTTGGTGCACCGAAAGCGAACTTGGTGGTGGCTCAGGATGGCTCTGGTGCGTTTAAAACAGTCAACGAAGCTGTACAAGCAGCTAAACAACAAAGAACTGGAACTGATAGATTCGTTATATATGTGAAAGCTGGTGTTTACAACGAAAATGTCAACATCGACTCTACCATGCCTAATTTGACCCTTATCGGAGATGGCATCGACGTGACAGTGATAACCAACGATAAGAACACCGACGAGGGCTACTCGACCTTTGACACTGCGACGTTTCGTAAGTCTTAGATTCTTCTGTTTTGTCATTAATCATATGAAAGAAAAATCTGATGTTTGATTCTCGAACGTTTTTGTAGAGGTTTGGGGTGCGGGCTTCCTCGCCATTGGGATTACCTTCGAGAACGTTGCGGGTCCCGGAAAACAACAAGCCATCGCGCTCCTCTCGGCCTCCGAGCAGTCGGTTTTCTACAAATGTAGCTTCAAAGGCTACCAAGACACACTCTGCCTACTCAGAAACCGACAATTTTATCGCGAATGCGACATTTACGGGACCATCGACTTCATCTTCGGTGACGCCGCAGCCGTCCTCCAAAAATGCAACATTTACGTCCAAAATCCGGCACATGGGCAACAAAACACGATAACGGCTCAAGGAAGAACCGATCCCAATGCGCCCACGGGATTTGTCATACACAATTCCCGGGTCACCGGGACCGCTGACTTGATCGGAACCAACGGTTCGGTCAGCACATTTCTCGGGCGGCCGTGGAAAGACTACGCGAGGGTCGTATTCGCAATGTGTTTTCTCGACGGTTTGATCGATCCCCGAGGGTGGATGCCGTTTCCAGGAAGCTCGGCATTCGATCGATTATATTTTGCGGAGTATAAGAACAACGGGAAGGGGGCGGATGCCTCCGGGAGGGTAAAGTGGCCGGGATACCATGTTCTGACCAGCGACGAGGAGGCGGAGCAGTATTCCGTCGGGAAGTTTTTGGACGGAAGTTCATGGATTCCGACGACCGGAGTGCCATTTAATTCCCGTCTTTTTTGATTCAGTGAAAATAAATAAATGTAATATTTAGGAATTAGGAGCAGTAAAAATAACCTGTAATTAGGAGCAGTAAAAATAACTTGCGTTTCCCAGTTAAATTTTCAACGGGTATCACCGTAAGTTTTAAAAACTCGGATTCGGTTATGCCTAATAGTTTCATTAAAAGACAATTTCTGAATCGTTAAAAGGTGAATTTTGTTTAATAAAAAAAATCTATTTCTGAATGGTTCTAAAATATCTGAATGATAAAAGTCTAACCACCAACTTCTTTTTTGCAATTTAAAATTGAAAATATAATCAGCTGTTTTTATTTTAATATCATAACGTAAGAGTCAAAATTATTAAAATACCTCTCGTTTAAATAGAAAGTTAATGGTTGTTAGATAAAGAGACCAAGATCATTGGGAATTGACAAAAGAGAGGAACTAAATCTACGGTTTTAAAGCATCGGATGATATCGTTAAACGTTGTAAATATTAGGGACCAAAGTTAAACCTCACTTTTCCGAAGATTTTAATGTTGCATGAAAAAATAATTTACTTTAACTTAATTACTATTTTGGTACCTAAAAAGTACCAAAAGAAGGAATCAAGTTAAAATACGTTAATTTTTCATACAATTTGTTCTATTGTAATTTACTCGTTGGATTTAAAATAGTAAAAAATATATGCATATTTTTTTTTTTAATTTTGGTAAAATTTTATCATCTCAAAATAAAGTATTCATATTTTTTTAATTTGTTTTAAAATAAATGTCTATTTTTTATATTCTGTTATTAATTATGAGATGCATAAAATTCTCTCTATAAATGTAAAATAGTCATTTAATTAAAGAGATCAAAATACTATTTTTTATATAATTTATTTTAAAAAGTTAATCTATACTATCTTATTAAGCAAATTTAGCAAAAGTCTTAAAGTCTTAAAATTTTAAATGACCAAAATACCTTTTATATTCATTTTTTCACTTTTTCACATACTCCTCTCCTCACATACACTCACCCCCTCACATACACTCATTCTCTCACAACCGATTTTTTAAAAATTATAATTTTAAATTTACACTTTATACCCCTATAATTAATTAATTAATTTACTTTTAAATGTTTCATTTTAAACATTTATCAAATTAACATACATAATCGTATATCAATTAAAACATGTTTAAAAAATACATTTTTATTTTAACAAGTTACACCATTATAATCATCTCGTTAATACCTTCGAAATGAGTCCAATATTAAATAGTTTTTGACTTAATTATATTAAAAATATTTTTAATATTTACGATTTATACTTTTATAGTTATTTATTTATATATATACTATATATTTTAGGGGTTAAGCTGTCCAAATTACACTGTATAATATGTTTTGAATTAATATGTTCTTGGGTTTTTTTGAAATATATATATACATGTATTAATTCAACCTTAATCTGAGTTTCTGGACAAGAAAGAGGGTAAGCAGTTGAAATTTCATTCTAAAACCCATCTTTTTTTTTTGTCTTTTCATGGCTTTTGATCTGTCAAATTTGTAGTTTTCTTTATTGGTTTTKAGTGTTTATCTTAAAACTCAAGTTTTTTGGTTCTTTGCTCTTGGTGTAAATCGAATACATTTGTGGAGTCGTTTAAATATGTTGGATTTTAAATATATTGGATTTTAAACCGTCATACAATTTTTTTCATTGATAGTCTGTAATTGGAACTATAACTCTTATTTATTCAAATTGTATTAATATGTGAAGATCAAGTGTAACATATATCATCGTTAAATCTTATCTTATAAAACCAATGGAACTTCAAAATCGTTAAAATTCATGGTTCCCGCCGCATTGCGCGGGTACACAACTAGTTATATTTAAGACAAATTAAATTTTAAAATAAATGTGATAAAAGGATAAGTTTATCGGTTTGGTTATCATCTAGTTTTATGTAAGTTGTAATACTTGTAACCTTAAATTTCAAGATATTTGATTAAAAGACAGCTTCTGTTAAGAAACCTAAAATTGATTAGGAACCTGGGAACTGCTCTCAGCACAACAAGTGACGTATTCATCATGAATATATACGCATTATTCATCATGAATGTTTAATTGATGATGAATAACACATCCATAATGTGTCCATATTCATCATGGATGAGTTATTCATGATGAATGTTCATTCCGAAAAAAGGACACTTGCTTGCAGTGTAGACGTGCTATGGTTCCTAATTTGTTTTGGGACATTGGGTTTCTACAGAAGTTTCTTCTTTGTATTATTAAATGATAGAAGGTATTCGCACAAAGCAACGAGATATATCTCAATTTTAATGTTTTATTTTATTTATTTCTTTGACTCAATCGATGTTATAATACGGTTTTATGTGGTTTTAAGAAATTGATAATGTTTTTATTTTTGAATCAAATATAAATATGAAGATTTCATAAAAAAAAATGAAAAAAAAATATTGATATTAGTACCAAACTAATTATTTTAATTTTTTTTGTGTATCTTTTTGATTCATTTTTTTTGTTTAATAATATAATTTTTATATTGTTAATAATTAAGTATTTTGTTAAAATTAATGATTATCCTAATTATATTTTAGATTTTTTATATTTGAAATGAAATGTTTATCCACTATTTTATTATGTTTATCTGCAATTAATTACATGAATTCAAACATAAAGCTTTAATAAATTGTATACATACATTTTACTTGTAATCTTAAATTTTAAGTAATATGCATCAATAAACAGTATTTTATGCATAAAAAATGGTTTTAAGATTTTTGTCAAATGTTTATAATATAGTATAAATATATGATTTTTTTAGGGTAAATTGCATGGAAAAGTAACATACTTTAATTTAATTCTTATTTTAGGCAACGTACTTTCAAATCTTTTATTTTGATAACTAAGATGTAAAGTTTGAAACATTTAAGTACCCGGGTAACCAGTTGATTTGAGTAAAACAAATATAAATACACGTAGTTAGAGCATATTTCACAAAAATAATTTAAAATGAAAATTTAAAACACAAAATTTCCAAAATAATTGCTACCGACTCTATCAGAAATTTTGAAGATTACAACATTAATTATATTATCAAAATATTTTAAAATATAATTATATGTTATTTCTCTCTTACAAACCGTTAACATCATTGCTTATTATTGGTGAATATTATAATAAAATGGTGTTTCCATTTCTTGATAATCATTGTCAGGAAATTCTTTAAATTTGGAGAATTTCACGTTGTCTCGTGTTTTCTCAATTTTAAAAATATAATAATTGTATTCGTATAATTCAGCGAGATTCGTCTCGATTTTATTGTTTCGTTTTATTATTTATCTATTAATATAATAAAATTTTATATGGTTTTGAGAAAATGATAATTTTTTTTAAATAAAATACAAATTTTAAGATATTGTAATTATTATTTTTTTAAAAGTTATCGATATTAATATCAAATTAACTATTTAAAAGTTATCGTTTTTTGTGTAATTTCTTTGATTCATTTTTTTATTTTAACTTAATTTAAGTCTAATAATGAATCAAGTTATTTTGATTTAATAATATAATTTAAGTATTATATCTATATTATATTATAAAGCATTTGACAAAAGCTCTTAAAAACCACTTTTTATACGTAAATTACTGTTTATTAATGCATATTACTTAAAACTCAAGATTGTAACTAATTGCAGATAAACATAATCAAATACAGGATAAACATCTCATTTTAAATATAAAAAATCTAAAATATAATTAGGATAATCATCGAGTTCTAACAAAATATTTAATTATTATCTTTATAAAATGTTATATTATTAAACCAAAAATAAATTATTTCGTTATCAAACTTAAATTAAATTATAATAAAAATGAATTAAAGAAATTACATAAAAATATAACTTTTAAATAGTTGATTTGATATTAACATTCATATATTTTTTTTCAAATTTATATTTTATTCAAAAATAAAATCATTATTGCTTTCTTAAAAACACATAAAATTGTATTATAACATCGACAGAGACAAATAATAAAATAAAACATTAAAATCGAGATATGTCTCGGTGCATTGCGCGGATACTCTTTTAGTTAGTTTGATAACAAATCAATTTTTTTTGATTTAATAATATAATTTTTTTATAAAGATAATAATTAAGTATTTTATTAGAACTCAACGATTATTTTAATTATATTTTAAATTTTTTATATTAAATATGTGATGTTTATCTTGTATATGATTATTTTTATCTGCAGTTAGTAACAGTAATTTAAAGATAGAGGTTTAATAAGTTGTACTTATGCACAATTTACTTGTAATTCTGAATTTTAAGTAATATGCATCAATAAACAGTATTTCGTTTATAAAAAATGGTTTGTAAGAGTTTTTGTCAAATGTTTTATAATATAGTATAAATATGTTAGAGCAAAAGTTTGCCCACGTCCTCTATTACTCAATTTTAAGGAATCGGTTGGAGATTCTCTAATGATAGGTCGAGTATCTATATTATTTAAGAGCATTTTTAATGTTTTTTACAATTTTTCTAAAACAAATAAGGAAAATTAAAAAAACTTTAATTAAAAATAAATTTATAAGTTTAATGATTTTAAAATAAATTATATTATTAAAATATATTTTACATATTTAATACTCTAAAAACTTTTGAACAAATTTCTTACAGGCATTATTTGACAAATTTAAGATAACTTATTTTTTAAGTATACGTTTGGATGACATAAACTAGTTTATAAATTACGTTATTGAAATGTAGCGTTTTAGGAGTTTTTTGATATATTTTTGTATAACTCTGACTAATATTAATTGTTATTTATTATTATTAATCATATTA